CACGACCCAATTCTGTTGACATGTTTCGCAGTCAGCGGCGAAGCTGTCAGGTACAGGTCAACGTCGACAGTGCTCGGAGCACGCGATAGCTTCCATTCAGTGCTGTTATACGGGGGCCTCCTTTAGCCCTCTCACAAAGATTAAATATTGCATTAGCAAGTCCGGCGTCATCTGTCCAAACCATGGGTATTTTTCTGTATTCATGCTACCTGACCCTCTGTCTGACGGCCTCAGACTCGAAAGCAGGTTGCGCCGCCTGATTGACCGCGCTCGTCCTTCCATAGGATCTGACTGATTCTTCCCTCCTCGCGTCTCTGGTCGCGGGCGCGCGCGGTGTGGACGTGCTCGCCTCTGCACTCATCATGCCTGATCTGATCTGGCTTGACGTAGCTCCAGGAGCAGGTGCTCCAGTCGCGTTGAGAGCTCCTTGTCTCCACGCTTCTACGCCTGCTAGTCCGCCGGGCGGAGAAGGGGAAGGGTCCACCTCTTGAGCTGTCTGGACTTCCCTGCCTGCCCGAGCGCCATTCATGACTGTCCTTGCGAAAGACGCATAGGATTGGTCTCCAACCAAATGATCCTGCCCCGCCTCCTCGAACCAAATTTGTCCACTTCCGCCTTTTTGTAGCGCTCCGGCAGCTCGATCGTGGGCTTGCCTAGCTAGAAATTGCTCGTACGTTTCCTTTGCTCGGCTCAACTTCGCGCTCTTTTCTTCTGCCTTTTCCCTCTTGGCTAGTGCGGAACCCACAAGATCGGGCAAAGAGACGGCGATGAATCTGGGCCAGACGACTTTGCTCGCTATGCCTGCTCTGATACGCTCCACGATCAACTGTTCTAGCTTGGGAACATCGACTAGCTTCGCTCGTGAGCCAAGCTGAGATCGGGCGCGCGCACTCAACGCAAAGTCGGGGTGAATAGAAAGCTTGAGAACGTGGCGCGAGCGAGAATTGGGTGGAATCTCGTGCTCCGAAACCAGCTCGAGTGAAACCTGTGCAAGCACGCGTCGGTATTAAGCCAGATGGGCCACGATGGGGGATGAGATCGAACAGACTCACTGTCCCGCTGAACCTTTCGATGAGAACCCCAAGCTCGATCGGCAATACCGCAAACCTCGGGCGAGGAAAGTTGATGACGAGATTGGTGGAGATGCAAAGCTCCAGCGCATCCGCGTAGTCCAGCTCCGCTTCAATGCGCTGTTGCACGACAGCAGATGATTTCATGTCAGCGCAGAGCAGGCAGACGGCCTCGTGCGCCCTACTCACGAGACTTCCCACCTCATCCGAGGGTCTAACTCGCACGTCTGACAGCTTGGGGAACGAAGCCCCAATATCTACGCTGGAGACGTCAATGTGGTCCTTTTCGGCCGCGGGAAGTAAAGGTGAGCTCGGCTATTCGAGGCGGCGCCCTCGGATGCTCATTCGCTGACTCACAATGATACCACCACCTTTGCCATCTACTGCTCTATTCAAGATGGACTCTACAACCTCATTGACACCCTCGGACACCTTCCTCGCTCCCTCTACGTTGCCGCCAGTCACATCTGGACGTGAGCCAGCTGAAGCCGCCCGGTTGAGATCTTCCCTGTAACCATCAAATGCAAGTGCAAGTAGAACATTTACCCAGTCCGAACTTTCTGGTCCGTGCGATCCAAGGTCGTAGCCGGTCACTCGCTCTGCCAGCTGAATTTGTGAAATGCGCGATCGTCCGCCAGCCGCGGCATGAGCTGCGCTCTCCGCTTTGAGCCGCTTGCCGCTCGGCTTTTGGAGGGTCGAGAAGCTCCGCATCGATCGACTCTTGCCGCCTCCTTTGCTTGAGTCTGGCGTGTCTTTTTCCAACTCGGATGGATCTGCAAATAAGAGGAAACGTAAGAGGACGAGGAGAAGGATCACAATCGATGCTTGCCCAACCAAGAGTCCTTGCGTGAAGGTGGGCTGAAACCAGCTCTGCCGTGGCACTGGCTGCCCACTGTGAGGTGAGCCCGTGGCCATTGCGTGGACGATCTTCGTGACTGCTGTGTTGCGGGAAAAAACTGCTGTGGCGACAGCGCAAAACTCGCGGCTTTGGGGAGAGGCACGCGCCTCCGCTATTTAGCGGAGCCTGGGGTGGATCGCCTCGCGACTGGAACGAGGAACAAACTGATGTGTGCGCTGATCTAGTGAGAGGTCATGTTGCGAGTGAGCCCGCTGAGATGTCGTGGTGGCGCATTGGTGCTTGAGAGTCTTTGGGTGTATGATTGAGAAGTACAATCGCGACGGCAAGGTGCAGGAAGGTGACGCTTGACGCAGGTCGAGCTCGAAGAAGAGAAAGCGACACCGATCACGAATGAAAGCCTCGATTCAAACGTCGAAGAAGCTAGACAGACGCCCACTGCTTTAATCTCGACTATAGCGAATAGAGTGCCTTGCACCGCCCTCTTAATTGGACAAGCACCACAAGTATTACAAAGATCTGGTTGAATTTGTAATCGAAACTTCTCCACCAGGACAGAACTTGTATGTAGGCAATCCACCCGCGGGGTGCACGGACCGGAGCACACCCGCAGGGCGACCGCATGATCATGTGCGCGCGTGCATGCGCCGGGATGCTGAGCGCGGCATTCCTTGGCCAGCCGCGCTTCTCACCCAACCATCAGTATGCCCACCATCATCGCCCCCGCTGCTGGTCAATTTTGAATCTGTACGAAAGTCTTTAAGCGACTTCTGATCGCTTGTCGGTTACAGCGAAGCTCGGCGGGCTCAAAGCCAAGATACTGTCGGCGACACGTACTCCACCTTCACCGCCCGCCTCTTCTCGACCCAGCTGCCAAGCCCAGCAGTGGCTCTCGAGAGCGACAAATCCTGCAGGGGCGGACACAGCTTGCGCACTTGGTGGAGCCCAACATGTCAGCGCAATCTCCGCTGATATCGTAAGTGGTCCACCTCTCCGTCGGGCACACACTTGCTGAATTTGCTCTACGATCCACCTCAGCGTTCCTGCAAAGCAGACGGAAGAAGTGGATCTGGCAAGCCCTGTAGCTCAACTCATCCGCAGCTCATATGGGGAGGACCCTAAGAGCCATACTGAAGCACTCAGTGCGCTCAATCGCGCTCGCCAAGACGCGGTCCGAGGCGCTGGGAGCGATGCTACCGGTGAGCTTGCGAGGCCCCCATCATGTACGTATACCTTTCTGTCGTCGCTGACATCCGAGGCGCCAAATCCTCTGCGCAGCTCGCGATCTGCTTTACAAGTGGTTCCACATGCTTGAAATGCTCGAATTGCGATTTCCCGAGCTTCGAGTCCCGTTTCCTTGGTGAGGAGCGATGCGTACAGTTGCCACTCTTGCGCGACCTGACACGTTCGCAACCGCTACAGGAAGGATGCATTCACACAGAAGCCCATTTCTCAACACTCGCTAGCATACGAGAAAGCGTCGGTCATCTTCAACATTGCCTCTGCTTTGAGCGTCATCGCATCGCGCGCTTCGCGTCTGTCTAGCAGCGCGTCTTCTGGTGCCGCCTCCGCCGCTGATGCTAGTACTGCATCGACGACCACAGCAGGCCCTGTTCCCGACGGCCTAAAGCTATCATTCCTCTCACTGAGACAATCTGCTGGTATGCTGAGCTACATCAATGACAATTTCCTCCACGCCCCTTCCACTGACATGTCGAAAGACGTCGTCAGATGGCTTGTAGACCTCATGCTTGCTCAAGCTCATGAGGTCCTGTGGGAAAAGACGGTCAACGAAGGCAAGGGTGCTAGCTTGGCTGCTAAACTTGCCGCCTCCGCTGCAGAAAAATACGATCATTTGGAAAAGGAGTCCAAGGAGTGGGTAGGCAAGGGTGTCTTTAATCGTGCATGGGCTGCGCTAGTTGCCGTGAGTCTGCAATGTTGCACCGAGCATGGGGGCATAACGCTGACTTGTATTCAGGGTGCTTTCCACTGCAGTGCAAAGCAAAATATTTTGCTTCCATCGCTCAGTACTACAGAGCCAATGCTGATC